GTAATTTTGACCGCGACTCATGTGCACATTTGACAGCGCCTGACTGAAATCTCCGGACATCCACAACTAAAGCAAACATACGCAGGTTCCTGCTCAGCTACTGTCTCAAAGCTCAAGGGCGTTCAGAATCAAATCTCCTGATGCCTTTGGCACTGATTGCCTGACATGTGACAGTCACAGCGAAGAAAACAACTTCTTCTATCCGGCTAGATTCAGTCCCAACAAGGCGTGCCATCAAACATGAGACACCATCACGAATGGCCCCGGAAAGTTAAGGAAGCTTTCTCTTGCAGGGTGGGCTTACTTTGAACTTTGTGTTCGAACTCCTGGCTGAAAATGTCGATGTCAGGCACCTGGGAATCAAGATGCCCCTGAAAACCCTGCACAGCAAACTTGCACACATTTGCTCAGACCACCAGGACAACGAGGAACTACACCCTGGTCACGCGCAACCTACACTGTTTCTGCTCATTGCAGCTTGTTCTGAATACAGCCCGCCTCCTCTGCAGCATTAGTGTTTGAGATCCTTCGCTGATCACCATGCTGTGCTGACTTGCGCATTGCCTTTTCCTGCAGCTTCGCCTCAGTTGTGCAGCTTAGGACGCTCAATCGGGCTACACTTGCTAGCACGCGAAATTCACAGCAAAAAAAACGAACAATGCAATATTTCACAACCGAATTTCCAGCTTCTTGTTGAGAGCTTTTCTGTCCACCCCGTGACCGATGCGTGCAGCAGCCCGCATGATGACCATTGCTTCTCCAAAACGTCCATTTGCCTCAAGGGCCCGGGAGAGGGTGACTTGCCCGAATGCCCAACCAGGCAAGATGTGCACAGCTTTCTGGGCATCCTGCACAGCCATGTCGGTGTGTGTTTCGACCAGCTCCTGCGACCGCATCACCAGCAACTGCGCGAGCAGGTTGGGCTCTTTGCGAGCAGCGCTACTTTCCGGGCCAAGAAGAGACAAGGCTTTATTTATGCCGTCCATCCTATCGGCTGCTTCCTCGGCCCTTCGAGCTGCAAATTTCAGCTTGGATACTTTTCGCTGCAGCTCACTCATCTCAAATCCAGGAATGATGTCATTCAGCATAGCTTCAACGCGGCTGAACTTCTTGAGGCCTTTGAAGACGGAACCCTCCGTGCTCTCTCTGCAATTTGGACCTTTTGAGCACTTCTTGAGACAGCGGCTTGGCATGACGCAGGCCAAGCCTACGCTAGCCTCCTCAATGTCACGAAGGAGCATGGGCGCGCCTTTCTGAGTGCACTTGCCGGCCTGGCATACTTCCAGCTCAATCGCCATGGCTGCCATTGCCGCATGATAAGCTGAAAAATACAAGTAAGGGCAGAAAGAGTTTCTGTCACGATAGCATGTCCTCAAGCTACTGCTGACGCATCGCATATCATCGCATGCTTGGGCTGCGTTGCTTCAAACTGTGCACAATCAAACGATGCTGAAGCATAAGTTCAAGCTCTGTTCTGAAGACATCATGGCTGATCCCTTGCCTTGACAAGAGCATGCCCAGGCGCGCATCGCAGCATCTTCCACACAGACTTACAAAGATGAAATTGAGAAAAAAAGATCTCCCTAGATAGGACATGATAGGACTGCCGAGCCATCCCACATTCATCCAGAGACGATTTTCTGTCATCCCAATCCTTGTAAGACCCTTCTGCTGTGTTGCCGGAAACCAATCTGCAAGCAGTTCCAGCTCAGCGGCATGTCCTCGGCTACCTGAGTTCAAGCGTTCAATCAAAAACTGGATCAAGCACTGCCAAGATCTGCTAGCGGCTAGCAGCTAGCAGGAACCTGACGTCCGCAAGCTGCCCAAGACATGTCCGCACATGTCCGCACTGCGGTCTGCTGCCATGTCATGCATGGGCAGGAATGGTGTGAGCATCCGCCATCATGGAGGTACAGCAGTCAAGGTGAAGAAGTAAAGGAATGGTGCCATTTCTTGCCGAGAATCATCAACCTGGTTTTCCGACCACCCCCCCCAATTACATGTTTTTGCCGGGTGACGTAGATGTACGCAGGGTGGTGAAGCAGGTTCAGCGTCAGCTACAGCATGCCCTCAGGCAAGGGGGCATAAATCTTGAGCGCACGACAGAACAAGCGATTCCCTCCACAGATCTCCACAGGATTCAGTGAACAGGCGGTCCGCACACAATTGCACAGGTCGAATTTGGGCCATGCTTCGCATATATGTGCACCAAACGCTGTCTGAAGTGCGTCAGACCAGGTTTCTTTCTGGCTTGCCATGAGCAAAGCTGAACTGACAGCCTCCCCGGGGGAAGTGTAGATGCTGGAGAAGGCGGAAAGGGAATCACAGTTTCAGCGCTCCACCGAAGTGGCCTGCATGTTGAACGCATACTCTACTGCCCCGGTCTTCAGCTGTGCAGATTGCATGGCGGAGAAGAGGCACCTCTGATCAGTCAAGTCATCAGAAACACCATCGGCTGCAGAAATACAATGAGAATCCATGAGGTACAGAAAGGATGTACAGCATCATACAGAACAGGCGTCTTTCAAATCTTGCCAGGCTGCGAAAATGACATTGCACGGACAATCAGAACACATTGACATGACCTACAATCTTCATAGCCCACCATTAGCCACCGAAAGCGCATCCATTTATCTCTCGGCGCTGTGCCCAAAATGTTGAGTACGCCCCCACCCCCTGCATACATTAGTCAGGCAGCCTGGGCATGAGGATTAAGAATTCAAGCATATGTGCGGTATTTGATCGAAAAGATTGGAGCCGCTCTGTCGTTGCCTAGCGGAACGCTGATGAACAAGTAGACAAACTTGAAGGGAAAAATAATTTACATCTGCACCCAGAGCCCGCAATGCGCAAGAGTCAAATCCCAGGCGAACCTTGAGGTAGCCCTTTCGTCACACGCTCCAGCCAGGCTAGGGAAATTCAGCGCGAGTTGCGGGAACTTCGAATGCCTTCAATGAAGTCTCCAGCCTCGGGGCCAAACTTATCCAGACGACCCGGAAGGGGGTAGAGTTACGGTCTGCAAATGCAATGGCCCTCTGCCATATAAGGCTCCTCACTTCAAGATTCAGATGCTAGCTCGGAAGCTTCATAACTTGGAAGCCAATCCGGTACAGGACTCAACAGCATCATCATTCGATCTATGCCTTTGCTTGACCCCAATTCCATCCATTTCAAATCTCTGTTCCATGATCTGATCATTCGCACAAGTTGCTCGGATCCGCCCTCTGCCTGCGACGTTGTAGCCGCCAGCATTCCCACCGGAGCCTTTAGCCACGGCAGTGCGTTACAGTGGCTGCCTTTGCACGATCATCATCCCTCGCCGCCGCTCGCTGAGGCTCTCTGCTGATGCCTGCGTCATGGAGCATCATGCTTACCACTGTCAATCCC